GTTGTAGTGGTGGTAGTAGTAGTAGTAGTAGTAGTAAGTCGTAGTAGTAGTAGTCGTAGTACTAGTAGTAGTAGTAGTAGTAATCGTAGTAGTAGAAGTAGTAGTAGTAGTAGTAGTAGTAGTAGTAGTGGTGGTAGTAGTAGTGGCAGCAGTAGTAGTCTTAGTCGTAGAAGTAAGGGGAGTAGCAGCCGACGTAGTAGCAGTAACAGTGGTCGTCGTCGTAGCGGCAGTAGTAGTAGTAGTAGTAGCAGTAGTAGTAGTAGTGGCAGTACTAGTACTAGTAGTAGTGGCAGTACTAGTAGTGGCAGGAATGATGGCAGTACTAGTAGTAGTGGCAGTAGTAGTAGTAGTAGTAGTAGTAGTAGTAGTAGTAGTTGTACTAGTAATAGTAGTAGTAGTAGTGAGGAAAGAAGTAGTTGCAATAGCAATAGCAATCGTAATCGTAGTAGTAATGGCAGTCGTAATAGTAACAGTAGTAGTAGTCGTCCTAGTCGTAGTAGTAGTCGCAGTCGCTGTCGCAGTCGCAGTCGTCGAAAACATAGGCATAGTATAACAAATAACAGAAAGAGCAATACAACCAGCAGTTGCACGGTTAATCGCAATGGCGCGAACGGTCGTAGTAGTAGTGGTAGCAATAGTAGGAAGTAGTAGTAGTAGTAGTAGTAGTAGTAGTTGTAGTAGTAGTGGTAGTAGTAGTAGTAGTAGTCGTAGTAGGTTAGTAGTAGTAGGTTAGTAGTAGTAGTAGTAGTAGTAGTAGTATAAGGGTAGTAGTAGCAGTCGTAGTAGTACTAGTAGCAGTAGTAACAGTAGTAGTAGTAGTAGCAGTAGTAGTAGTAGCAGTAGTAGTAATAGTGGTATCATTCGCGGCGTTGGAACAATAGCCGTAGTAGTCGTAACCGCAACAGAAGTAGTAGTAATAACAATAGAAACCGTAGTAGTAGAAGTAGGAGCCGTAGCAACAGCAGTAGTCGTAGTCGTAGTCGTAGTCGTAGCCGTAGTAGCAGTAGTAGTAGTAGTAGTCGTAGTAGTAGTAGAAGAAGAAGTCGTAGTAGTGTTAGAAGTAGTAGTGGTCGCAGCCGAAGTCGAACTCGCAGTCGCAGTCGCAGCCGTAGTAGTTGCAGCCGCACTTGTAATAAGACCAACAATACCAGTGGCAGTAGAAGTAGTCGCACAAGTAATGGCAATAATCGTGGTTAGTAGTAGTAGTAGTACTAGCACTAGCCGTAATCGTATTAATAGTAGTAGTAGTAGTAGAAGTAGTAGTAGAAACAGGAGTAAAAGTAGTTGTAGTAGAAGTAGTAGCAGCAAAGGTAGTACCAGTAGCAGTCGTACTAGTAGTAGGACTACTGGTAGCAATCGTAGAAGTAATAGTCGGGGTGGTAGTCGTAGTAGCCGAAGCAGTCGTAGTAATAGTAATAGTAGAAGTAGTAGTAGCAGCAATAGTAGAAGTACGGGTACTCGTAGTAGTAGAAGTACTGAAAGTAATCGTAGTAGTAGTAGTAGTAGTAGTAGTATTTGTTGTTCAGTAGTAGTAGAAGTACTAGTAGTGGCACCAGTAGTAGTAGTAGTAGAAGCAGGAGTAGTAGAAGTGATAGCAGTCGTATAGTCAATACCAGCAGTAATTGTAGTTGTAATAGTAGTAGTAATATTAGTATTAGTATTAGTAGTAGTAGTAGTAGTAGTAGTAGTCGTAGTAGTAGTAGTAGTAGTAATAGTAGTAGTAGCAGTGGTAGTAACAAAGTAGCGGCACTGGTGGTAGTAGTAGCGACAGTGGTAGTGGTAGGAGAGTAGTAGTAGTAGTAGTAGTAGTAGTAGTAGTAGTAGTAGTAGTAGTGGTAGTAGTAGTAGTTGTTGTAGTAGTAATAGTAGTAGTAGTAGTAGTAATAGTAGTAGTAGTAGTAGTCGCAGAAGTAGTAGTAGTAGTAGTAGTAGTAGTAGTAGAAGATGTAGTAAAAGTTGTAGAAGTAGTAGTAGTAGTCGTAGTAGTAGTAGTAGTAGCAGTAGTCGTAGTAGTAGTAGTAGTAGGTAGTAGTAGTAGTAGTAGTAGTAGTAGTAGTAGTAGTAGTAGTAGTAGTAGTAGTAGTAGTAGTAGTCGTAGTAGTAGGAGTAGTAGTAGTAGTAGTAGTAGTAGTAGTAGTAGTAGCTAGTAGTAGTTGCAGGGATAGTACGAGTAATGGTAGTAGTGTTGGTAATAGTGACAATACTTCTACCTCCTCGTGTCAATCCTACGGGGGAGGAGGAGGTGGGAGGGGGAGAAAGAGAAGGAGGAGGAGGTCTTAGGACATGCCCTGTTCACCGTCGAGTGAAAAGACGGGGGGGTCAAAACTAAAGACCCTCAGAGATTACCACCAATGGACACCAAACTCGTCAACAAGATTGTCGAACGCATCACCACCTGGACCGTCAGCATCGCCATCCGTTTCATCATAGTGAACATCACCGACACACCCAACAACATCGTCATACTCACGACAGACACCAACAAGCATGACATCACTATTGCCAACATTGCCACAACCATCATAATCAACATATATGTTTCACTTGACCCTGAGGCCATCATGGCAATGAGGATCAGCACCACAACCACCACACCTCATCATCACCGTCATCGTCATGCACACCACAACTAACACCAATGACCATCACCATTGGCTGTCAGCACTGACCACATGCCCATTAAATTTCAGCATCGCCGACATCATCAAGACTGACGGCCATGATTGAGAGCAGTCGACAACAGCATCATCGTCAGCACCATCAGCAACGCTATCAGCAGCATGAACACCCACCCTCGCCACCTGCAAGAACACCATCAGCCAACTCAGCAGCACCACTATCAATATCAGAACCAGGATCACCACCACCATCATCTTAACCGCATCCTCACCACTATCAGCATCAACACATTGAAACATTCACGATCATCTCAAGACCACACATTCCACTGCCATCGGCATCACCACCACTATGAGCATCACCATCATCGACGCAACGTCGCCTCCAGAGCTCAGCCGCGCGGGGCGGAAGCACCCCCCGCCCGCAAATTCATTCGAGAGTTCGCCCGCGGGCGAGGGTGCGGCTACGCCCTGGCGTTCTGGGCGGGTCGATAGCTTTGGGAGTTCATCGGCCGGACGGGGTCCGTGGGGCGCGCTCCGCTGCGCACCCCTCGTTGTCTGTTTCAACGTTTGGTCAGCCCTGGCGCCCAGGGTGGGGCGAACTCGCTTGCGAATGAGCCCGCGGACGAGGGGTGGGTGGTTCCGCGCGTGCCGCTGCGCGCCCCTGGACTGTTTCCCGTGTTTCCCCGCCCTGGCGTCCTGGGCGGGGCGGGTTAACTTGGGAATTGAACCACAGCCGTCGGATGGTTGCGCGCCCGCCGCAAGCAGTGAGGAACTGGCGCCGTAAACTTTGCAGGTGCTCTGGCGGCGTTGAAATCTCCACCGTGGAAAAAAAAGGAACTCCAGAATGGGTTCGCTAGGAGCCGGTGTCGGAAACCACCTTGGAAACATGTCATAGTTCGCGGTTTCATCCGCTTCGGGAAAAGAGGAGGGGATGACGCAGGTCCGCGGAGAGTGGCTGGGCAGCGGAATTCGCGACCCCACTCATGTGACTGATTTCTCGTCACGGGCCGCCATGCTGCAGGGCCAGCCGCTGAAATTGTGGAACATGGAGGTGGAGCGGCAGGAGGAGGAGGGGGAGGGAGGAGGGAAGGGGAGGGGGGGAGACTGCGAGGGCGACCAGGAGGGGGAGCAGGTCCGGGAAGAGCGGGATCAGGCAGGAGGCCCGACCCGCGGGCCTTCGTGGCCCGGGCGGGTCCGAGGCTGTCCATGGCGCTCGCGACGTCGCTGAACTTGACGGGCTTCTTCAACTTGGAGTTCCTCTGAGGGCAGAGGCCTCCTCCTGCTGCTTTTCCCTCTCCTCCTCGTCCTCCTCCTCCTCCTCCTCCTCCTCCTCCTCCTCCTCCTCCCTCCTACTCCTCTTCCTCCTCCTCCTCCTTCTCCTCCTCCTCCTGCTCCTCCTCCAGCTCCTCCTCCTCCTCCTCCTCCTCGTCCTCCTCCTCCTCCTCCTCCTTCTCCTCCTCCTATCCCCCAAGAGGAACAGGAGAGGGGAAGGGAAGGGCCTCGGGAGGCTGCACAGGGTGGGGCCACACGTGCTTCCCATGGCCTCGAAGAGATTCCACGGGCCGCCTCCCACGTCCGCCCTCCCTCCTCCCTGGGCATGCCCTCCGCCATCGCCCCTTCTCTCCCGTGCTCCGCCCCTCCCCTCCTTGTGCCGCCCCCCCTCCTTCTGCCAGTCCTCCCTTGCCTCCGTTCTTGTGCTTCATGAACAGCTCCTCTCCGTCGCACCGCGAGGACGGCTGAAAGCTTCCAGCCGTCCTCGCCCGAGACTTCGCTGCCATTATGAGCCTGAAGCTTACACGTAGGAGCCGACTCGTACGGTCCTGGTGCCCAGAAGGGGCCCAAGGAGGCTGACAACTGCGGATAAGCTCAGAACTCATTTCCCTTTGACTCCGTTCTTCATGATTCATGATGATGCGAGCGGGCCTTTGAGACTCCTCCCTGCCCACCCTCCCGGGAGAGACAAGGGCGGATTTTGCGCGTAAGCTAAGAAATAGTCCAGCAATATCCACACATGGCACACAACAAATACTCCAACCATCCTCCCCATACTATCATCGGACTATTTCTGAATATGCCTCCTGTAGAGGGACGTGCCCGACCTAATCGTCCGCGCTTCTCGCCACCTCCGCTCTGCACACCTTTGCCCCCCCCCCCTCCTCCTCCTCCTCCTCCTTCTCATCCTCCTCTCCTCCTCCCTCCTCCTCCTCCACCTCCTCCTCCTCCTCCTCCTCCTCCTCCTCCTCCTCCTCCTCCTCCTCCTCCTCCTCCTCCTCCTCCTCCTCCTCCCCCCCCGCCCGTCCCCCGCCCTCCGTGAGGCGCGCCCCTCTCCCGCAGGCGCGAGTGGCGGGCGGGCCCCTCCTGTTCAGGAAGCCCACGAACCTGTGCTCCCCCCCCAGGGGCGACCGGGGTGGAGGGCGGCAGCTGGGGCGGCAGGGAGGGGGCGTGAACGAGGGCAGGAGGGCAGGAGGGGGGAGGAAGAAGGGATGAGTACGAGAGGGGACGAGGGATGGTGGTGGTGAGGAGGAGGAGGAGGAGGAGGAGGAGGAGGAGGAGGAGGAGGAGGAGGAGGAGGAGGAGGAGGAGAGAGAGAGAGAGAGAGGAGGATGAAGAAGGGGAGAGGGGGGATGCAGGGACAGTGAGGAACGAGGAGGGGACGAGGGGGTGGGGGAAGTGGTTTCATGGACCGGGTTGGCTCAGATCTCTTCGCCTCAACTCAATTCGGAACCCTGTAGAAAGGGGGCAGGGACGTAGGGAGATCGTGAGAAGGATGAGTTGGTTCTAGGAAGTTGTAGGTGTTGTGGCGCACCGCCTGCAGCAACTTCTTCAAGGAGGAGCAGGCAGTGAAGGATTGGGGGAGGGGGGTGATGCCTCGCCGAGATATGCCTTGCTTGCGGCCATCTGCGCCCCTTGACGAACATTGATGTGGCCAGCTGAGCTCCGCTCGAGAGCGAGCTGTGCCCTACGTGCTCGTCCCTCCCTTTGCAAGAATAATAATGGCACACATCCGCAGGACGAGGACCACATTTTGTGGTGCCCTGGGGACAACTGCGAGGCGCGGCGAGGCGCACCGTGTCTGGCCCAGGATGCCGACCCGCAGTGGGGCCGGGCGCGCGGGCCGCAGCCCCCACGCGGCGCTGCTCCGTGCGAGGTCGGGTCGATGCTCTCCGGTCACCGTGACGCTGCTGCCCCGGGGGGGTCGCCGGTCTTGTGGAGCCTGGCCACAGATGTGCTTTGTCCTGGCCGGGAGGGGCTCGATGTCTACACCACGTCGCTTGGTCGGCCAGGGCGTTCGGCGTATAGAGAGCCCAGCTGCACGAGCTATGGGATGCTGAAGCGTCTATGGACGGAACCCTTTCGCCGAGTTCGTGGGCTCCTTGGCCGACCAAACGACGTGGTGAACGCATCGAGACCCTCCGACTGGTCCGCTCGCCCAGCCTCCTGGGGCAACACTCGGCGGCGCGCACGAAGGGGTAGGGGGAGGGGGGAAGGCTAGAACCAGGGGTGCTTCTAAGAAGCCTTCCCCCCTCCCCCGTCCCCACCTCTGCGCGAGGCCGAAACACCCTCCGGGTCGCTGGAGGGACAAGGCCCCCGGGCGCCAAGCTGGACGGCTGCCCAGGACGGCAGAACGGCCGAAGACTCGACCGTGATCGAGCCGCCAAGCTCTGGAGGTCTCGACCCGTCCCCAAAGACTTTCTCCTCAACCAGGATCTCAGACATAATTTCTGGATATCCCCAGAAAATCTCTGGAGATCTCAACCATCGTTTCTCGACAGTCGTTTCCCCGACCTCTGGAGATCTCAAACATAATCTTCTCATCCGGGGGCGCTCTTCCTGTCGACGGCCCCGCGGCCCCGAAACAGCCAACGGACGCCAAGAACTGCAAAACACATCCGACCGACGATCAAAATACGGGTCTTACGCGAGATGGCGTGGCGACCTTACGCCGCGGCTTACGCGGGCCGCCGGCGCGGCACGCCACATTGGAGACGAGGGCGCTTACGCGCCACCTTACGCGGGCGGCTTGCGCGCGAATGTCGGCGCAGACGACCCCGTTGTTTTGCGTCGCCCATCTGGCGCGACTGCTCCCGAATCGCCGGAAAGGTCTCGTCCACCGGAGAGCCAAGTCGGGCCGCTGGGGCGGGCGGCGGTCCCCAACATGTGGCGCGAGGAGCCGGGGGGAGCGAAGCCCGTGCCGACCCCGGCCCGGAGGTGAGCCCGATCCAAGGCGTGCGCGCGTCGAGGATTTGATGTTGCTCCCATCGCACTTGAGGACCACATCCCAGAAATAATCTCGAGCACCCAGAAAAGCATCGGAATTACACCAGAGAGAACACCCCAATCAGTGGATGGCTTTCGATAAAGGGGATCGACCAGGAGCCCGGGGACCCGGAACCCACCGAAATCGGCCGGGAACCAATAACCAGGAACCCGGGAACCTGGAACCAGCAACCCGGGAACCCAGCCGACGATCAAAATCGGCGGGGAACTTTCGCCAAATCTTTCAATTTCCGCTAGGCTAGGACCCCTTCAGTGCAAGCACTGATTGGGGAACAGTGTCGAACGAGTATCGCCTCCCAGGGCCCGACACGTGAAAACCCTCGAGCTTTGGTGCTTCCTTCGTGATCGAAATTGTTTTTGGGGGATCAAGGCTAAAGTAGGTCAGAACATCATACGTCGAGGATCGAGATTCGAGGATCGAACTTCTCGGTGCGCTCCGCCGGGGGCTCCAGGGAGACCTCCTGCACTGACCTCCAGGAGAGCCAGACCTCTCGCGACTCGAAGCAGTTGCGCCGACATAAATCTGGTAGCCGTTGCCTGGACCCAGGAGCACTGCTCGGAATGAGAAGCAGGACTTGGAAGCAACGCTGCAGGGACTGGAGGCTCCAAACAACTGATTCATTGACTCCGTTATTCGAAATGTTGTGTCAAAAAATCCAAATTGTTTAGCGGCGTCTGATTATTTTGCCTTCGCGCATTATCCTCATAAGCATGTGTCGTGGAGGTGCCTCCAAACTTCGCTAGACACTATGGATATTCAAATGCCGTGGCCAAGAATCACGGAAGTGTTGCCGAACTGGGCTGACACAATCGAGTGGCAAGGAGGACGAAGAGACAGTTGGAGGGAGCAAGACGACAAAGAACAATGTTGACACGCTGCCATGAGCCTAGATCAAAAACAGTGGAAACAAGTGCCCGCTACATTCTGGCTGTGCGAGCAACTCCGCGCGCCCGCCCACTTTCTTAAAATGTGCCACGCCCACTGGCTGGAACAGGCTGCAACGTTCAAAAGTTGCCACCCCTACTCTCAGAGCGACTGGCTGCTGCTTGGATCGATACTCAGCGCGAGCTCCAACATCACAATGTGCCCTTCACATGCTCCATGCAACCACTGGGAGCTAGTGATCAGAAGCAACGTGATTGCCAATCTTTGTACACTGGGGTCGCGAGCGCGGCCGTTGGCATCGACGCACAGGTTGCAGCCGTGCTGTTCGGAATGGATCGTGTTGGCCCAACCACTGGCACGCCGAGGTCAGCGGGACCACGCGTGCCTACGAACGGAACGCGGTATTGACCCCAAACTCAATGGACTCAACCACGGCTTGAACATGCTGTTCGAAATGCTGCCGATAGAAATGCCAGCAAGCCGCCGCCCACCTGTCTTCTGAGACAGATAACCAAGCCGCAACCTGAATATTGAGGAAGATCACCGAGAGCAGCAGCACCAGCTGGCTGGACATTACCTGTTCAGCTGCGCACCCGAATCACTGGAGCCGGGTCCAGGGGTCGCGTTTGGAACTGTGGGTCCTAGCCTGGAACTTACGCTTGATCCCAAATGGCTATTGGCTCGGGGCGTCGGACGGTGGGGCGTCGCGAGGGGTTGGAGCGTCCAATCTGGCCCAGGATGCATCCAAGAGGGACCCAGATGCTGCAAGATGGCCTTCAGGATAGCTCAAGAAACTTCAAGATGGCTCATGGTAGATGCCTCCCAGGTTCCAAGTACCCTCCGAAAGCCAGTCAAGATACCCCCCAGAGGCCAACATCCTTCTCAAACCTGGGGAACACCCTAGCTTGTTCTGCATTATCGCAATTCCGCGTCCGATGTGCCTCTGAGGCCTCAAGATAGCCCCAACAAGGCCCAAGCGACTCTCAAGAAGGGCCCTAGAGGGCCCCAAGAGAGCTCCAAGAGCGCCCAAGAGCGTCCCGAGATGGCCTCACGAGGCAACTTGTCGGCCTCCAACGGCGGGCCGGGCGTTTCGCCTGAGACTCCCTCACCATTGATGACCCTGAAACTAAAACAGTGGCAGCAGCTTCACAGATGGAGGGCGGGTCCCTTCCAAAATTTGGCACTCGCCTTAGCGCCGCGCGCATTCGTTTGAACATATTGCAAGAGTTTCACGGATGGAGGGCGAGCTATTTCCAACATGTGGCTCTCGCCTTAGCGCTGCGCACACACGTCTTCACAACCTGCTTGGCTCGGGGACGGAAAGCGCATTCTCTTTCAGAGCGCAAGATGTCGCTGGCTTGCCCGTTCTTTCTCTCTGTCTCCCCGTCAAGAGGCTCTCTTGGGGCATCTTGGCAGCAGATTGGGCGCCCTCTAGGGCTAACTAGAAGCCGGGGGAGGCCCCTTGAGGGGGAGATAGGGCGTGTTGGTATGTCGGGAAGGCCCTAGAACGTATGCAACACGAATGGAGATTATGATAATATTGTTGATTATGAAGACGACGACATACTGTCTCTTGGGAGTATCTTGGGCCTCTCCCAGGCTCTCATTGGGCCGTCGTGTGGATCTCTTAGGCCGTCTTAGGGCCATTTTGAGCCGTCCTCAGGCCCTCTTGGGAGCCTCCGGGGCCGTCATGGAACAATCTCGGGCAGCCCTGGAGCTGTATCGGGGTTCTTGCCCGAAAAGGCGAGAAGCTGGAAAACCTTCACAAACCTGAAGGGAACAATGGTTTTCCGTCCTCCAGCACTTTTGGGGGTTCTCTCGGGGGCCGCTTGGGGTGCCTTGGATGCCTCTTGGGCCATGTTGAGGCCATTTTGGGCTACCTTGGATCGCTCTTAGGCCGTCCTCGGGCCCGTGTGGGCTCCTCCTACGCCGTCTTGGAGGTACCTTAAGCTGGTGAGGAGCCTACGCGCTTACGCGGAGCTTACGCGAGCTTACGCGGAGCTTACGCGAGCTTACGCGTGTTTATCCCAAAAGGCCCCAAGCCGGCCCCAGAGGAAGATCGCCCAAGAAGCTCCCAAAAAGGCCCCAAGACGGCTGAAGAGAATTCCAAGACGGTCCAAAAGCACAGACGGCCCAGAGAGGCCCCCAAGACGACCTCCGAAGGCTTCAGACGGTGGCGATAGCCCTCGACAACAGCTGGGGGAACACTTACTCC